CCTCTGAGGCTGCATCTAAGACGCGGATGGAGAGTGGCCGCAGGAAGAACGCCCAGCTAGGGGCCCGCGGGGGGCCGCCGCCAGCCCCCTGCGTGGAGAGGCCGTGTCTCCAGAGCCACACGAGCTTCCGTAGCTACCAGGAACTTGAGATTGCTTACTGCGCACGTGAACTTTCCCATCTGACTTATGAGAGATGTTTCTGAATGTTTTCTGCCCCATTTCATCTTTGAAAGAGGACCGCGAGGAAGACACGGGAAGGGAAGGACTCATTTCTGTGCCCGCGTGGGCCTCTCCAGGCCTCCCCGAGTCCTGCCGCCCCCTCCGGGAGCCGGCCACCCAGGCACTTCCGAATGTCGGTCCCCGCATCACGGTCCATCACCAGTTCTCTTTCTTTTTAACTTAAAAAATAAAAGTTTATTTATTTATTTGGGATGAGGACTGGGTGTGATACGTGGGTGACGAATCCCTGGAATCTACTCCTGAAATCATTATCGCACCACTGTATGCTCACCAACTTGGATGCAAATCAAAAAAAAAAAGAAAGAAAAGTTCATTCGTTTATTTTAAAAGAGACAAAGAGACTGAGGGAGGGAGGGGCAGAGAGAGGGGGAGACACAGAATCTGCAGCAGGTTCCAGGCTCCCAGCTGTCAGCACAGAGCCCGACGACGCAGGCCTCAAGCCTACGAAGAGTGAGATCGTGACCTGGGCTGAAATCAAGTCAGACGCTTAACGGACTGAGCCACCCACGCACTCCCTGGCCCCAGTTCTGTGCTGATTTATAGTCAGTCCCCATTCAAAAAATGTGTTCAGGGGCCGGCGGGGGCGGGGGGCGCCTGGGTGGCTCAGTCAGTTAAGCAACCGACTTTGCCTCAGGTCATGATCCCACAGTCTGTGAGTTTGAGCCCCACATCGGGCTCTGTGCTGACAGCTCGGAGCCTGGAACCTGCTGCAGATTCTATGTCTCCCCCTCTCTCTGCTCCTCCCCCACTCACACACACTCTCTCTCTCTCTCTCTTTAAATTTAAATAAACTTGGGGTGCCTGGGTGGCTCAGTCCGTTGAGCCTCCGGCTTTGGCTCAGGTCATGATCTCGCGGTTCATGGGTTCAAGCCCCACCTTGGGCTCTGTGCTGACAGTTCAGAGCCTGGAGCCTGCTTCGGATTCTATGTCTCCCTCTCTCTCTGCCCCTTCCCCACTCACACTCTGTCTCTCTCTCAAAAATAAACATTAAAAAAATAATAATAAAAAACAAAAAATGTATGGGGGGAGTTATTATCATTATGGGAAAGATCTAAAGACTAGAGGCTTATAAAAGATTTCCACTCTCAGCCACCCTATCAAGGACCTGCCCTAGGCCATACTCTCTGTGTTAGCCTCAAATAATAATATCTGAGCGTTTGAACCTATCAGGTGAATAATGTCGTCTTGTCACAATTGGGAAGGTGTTGTCCTGTCAAATCGCCATTCCCGAGCCAGCTTTGACTTTTATTTTTGAGCTTGTGGTAAATTCTCGCCAAACAAACAGCTGCGAAATCTGGAATCTGCTGTTTCTGTCCTATGACGAGGGTGGATTAACAAAACGGGCCCAGACTGCCTCACGCTTCTCACTAATATATTTGCAAATGAGGAGAGAATTGGCAAGAGGGGCTCCGAGTTGCTTTGCCAATCACCCTGAATTTTCTCTCCGCATTTCCTATCGAGACAGACAGATTTGAAATGGTTGAGCAGCTTTTGGCTCAGTAACCTGCAACGTAAGCTCATCAGTCCTGTCGAATGGGTGGCAAAGCCCAGGAGCATCTCTGCCTCGCGGGCTCTAGGGCAAGGCCGACCAGCGGCCAGACTCCCGCCGGATCCACGGCCCTAGACAATTCCTCGCGGGGTAACACGGATGGTGATGAGCGCTCAGGGCCTCGATTCTGTGCGAGGACACCCCTACCCAGTGGACAGCCGAACCCTCAATAAAGTACAGGTTACTGAAATCATGGATTGCGGAAGCAGAGCTCAGCTGTGTTTCCGGGGGGTCGGGGGGTGGGCGATGGTGGGGGCCGGTGGGGCTGCCCCCCGCGGGCTGCCCAACGCCCGGAGCCCCTAGCTGTTGTTTCCTTCTGCCACGGGATAGTGTTATTTGTCAGACCGCCGATGCTTTATGCGGCCTGCCTGCACGTGCTCCCATTTGTAAAAATGGGGATGATGACGATGCTTTGCTCGCGGACCATCAAGTAAGACCACGGATTTTGGAACGCTTGACAGCATTTGCTCCTTGTAACCACGTAAATTGCAGGCGAGTCACCATGGTGCAAGGTTGTTCGAGCCCCGCGTCGGGCTCTGTGCTGAATGTGCTGAATGTGCTCACGTGATCGCCGAATACAAGTGTAAGGTCAGTGGAACCAGAGTGTCACCAGGTGCACCTAATTGCAAGAACTGCCAAGGAGGAAAACTGGGTGGGGAAACTCACCCCACCGGGTGTCAAAACACAGTATGACGTTAGGCGAATCAGGAGTCAGAATTTAACGGTACAGAATGGAGACCCCAGGTTCATATCAATCAGTAAGGGAAATTGTAGATTATTTAATAAGTGTATTGGGACAATCATCGATTTATTTGGGGGGGGGAAGATCTCAATTCATCGTATTTGCAAAAATAATTTTCAGGTAAGGAACTGAATGTTATTAAAAAAATTCTAAAACTCATGCCTGAAAACAAATGACATGCTATTTCTGTTTTCTGGGGGGAGAAAAATTATTTTATTTTACTTTATTTTGTTTTAATTCTGGTACAGCTAACATACAGTGTTATATTAGTAGAAACTCCTTTTTTTTAATTAAAAAATATTTTTTAACGTTTATTTATCACACGCAGTGGGGGGACAGAGAGAGAGAGGGAGACACAGAAGAAGCAGGCTCCAGGCTCCGAGCTGCCAGCCCGGAGCCTGATGCGGGGCGCAAACTCACAGACCGTGAGGTCACGACCGACGAAGCCACCCAGGCCCCCCGGTAGAAACTCCCTCTTGAGCAAGAGCCAAGTAGACAGAGAAACGAAAGACTGATAAATGGCCACCAAACATTTTGGGTGCTTCAATCTTTCCCACCAGGCTTTCCCTGAAGGACTAACAACACAAGCGGACGAGGTCACAGGGTCGCGACTGGCTTGGAGCAGCAAAGCGGTGCTGTGCCTCGAGCCACCCGCTGTGTCCACTGTCCCCCACGTGGCGTGCTGGCTGTCATCCCCCCCGGTCGAGGAGGCTTCTGGAATCCTCTCGGACAGCTGCAGGATGGCCTGGGAAACGACCTGGGGAGTCCAGCTTCCATGCCGAGTCAGCCCAGGCTGGGAGGGAGAGCGGAGGTCCCGAGCAGCTGGCGGCCGGAGTCAATGTCAGCGTGTGGGAGTGCCATCATCTTCCCTTTCCCAGCGTGGCCCGGCCCGGCCACTGCGGCCCTGTGCCCGGCGCGGTCATCTGCAGGAAGCGAGACTAACGCTCCTTTGCTTCAAGCCCCAAGTTTTCTTGCACAGCAACACACAATGGAAACACCCCTTTCCCCACGGCCGTGCGGAGCCCGAGAGTGTGGCTCTTTTCTGGGACCCTGCTCCGTGGTCCTTGTAGCCAGACACCCACCAACGCCACAGAATGAGGGAGGTCCCTTGGCCTTCACACCGTCTCCAAGTGTTCTGCGTAGGGTTCTTCCATTTATTAGATCTATTCCCTTTGTGTTTCCTGAATACAAAAGTATCTCATCTATAAAGAAGTGGGCCAGGCTCTCCGGGACCGCGTTGAATGGACGTGACAACGGCAAGTATGTTCGTCACGTTCCCAACCTCCAAGGGAAAGTTTTCAGTGTTTCACCATGCATGTGTGCTATTTGGGTTGATATTTTTCTTTTCTTTCCTTTGGGGTACATAGCCTTTATCAGATGATGGGCATCCCCTTTCATTGGTACGTTGCCAAGACTTTTTACACCATAAATGTTTGGATTCCATTCAATCCCTTTCCTTGCATTTTTGAGATGACCCTATGTCTTTTTTCCATCATTCCCTCTTCTTTAATTTTTCTAGTGTTTATTTATTTTTGAGAGAGACAGAGAGAGAGAGGGAGAGAGCACAGGGGAGGGGCAGAGAGAGAGGGAGACACAGAATCTGAAGCAGGCTCCGGGCTCTGAGCCGTCAGCACAGAGACAGATGCGGGGCTCGAACCCGTGAACTGCGAGATCGTGACCTGAGCCGAAGTCGGACGCTCAGCCGACTGAGCCACCCAGGGGCCCCTCCTTCATTCTCTTAATAGGCTGAAACACTGATGGGTTTTCAAACGTTAGGACAATCTGGAGTTTCTGCCGTCAACCAAGTTTGGTTGCTCTGTATTTTTCTTTTTTTATGTCATGGGATTCAATCTGCCTTTTTTTCCTTCTATCTTTCTGGAGAGATCGGCCTGTATTTTCTCTTTTGTAGTATCCTCACCAGATTTTTCGTATAACAATTTTGCTGGCCTCACAAATCAGAAGTGTTGCGACTCCCAGGGGGAGAAGGATGCCTGTCAGATTCAGGGTAGTGCGCACCTGGAGTGAGCGCCTGCCTGGTGCGAGATACGAAGCCCCCCACCCTCCTCGTTTGCTCCGTCTGCCGGGTCTCCCCTTCCTCTGCACCCACCCCATTTCCACTGTGCTTCTAGAGCCCTCTTGGGCCGGCCCCACAGGAGAAGCGGGGGCCCTTGGGTGTGTTCCATGCTTCCACTCTGCGGCCTGTTCACCTGCATGGTCTGGCCCTCCGCCCAGCCAGGCTGTCTCATGGGCTCCACTGTGGCCCGGGCTGAAGGCAGCGCTTGCACAAGCCGGGGCTCCACAGGTCCCGGGGGGGGGGGGGAGGGGGTGTGTGTGCACTGTGTGGACAGGACAGCCGCATCACCTGAGCTCTGCACGGTCTCCCGCGCAAGCACCGTGGCGAGGCTTGCCACGCCCATCACCTGGGTGCAGGCGGAGGGGGAACGGGGCGCAGGAAGCTCCGGGGACACGCTGCTGTGGGCGAATAATTACTTTGCCACAGTCTGTTTTTGGCTTGGCTTGGCTTTGTTCTAAACACTGCAATGTCGCTCGTCCACCTCTTTGCTGATCGCTATCCCACCGGGGTAATGACCAGCTTTGCTTTCACGGAGGGTATTTTGGACTACGAGTTATCTTCTCAGATTATTTTAAGTGGACAGAGAGGAGGAGGCTGTATGTTTAAAAGCAGGGAATGGCCCCGGTCAACAGGGTGATGAGTAAAATGATACTTGCAGAAGCAGAAGCCCTGGCCAGCAGGGTGGAGAGGCCGGGGCCAGGGCAAACATCTGCCCTCATCTCCTCTTTGGAGAAGAGCGATTATGTTTCGGAGAATGCTCGTCGGCACGGAAAAGCAAAAATTCACCTTGGGTTTCACCACCTCGAACTCAGTACTGCGCGTGTCTGGTAAACGCTTCAGAGCGTCCTCCAGACGGCTTTTCTCACGGCTGGAAATCATTTTACAAAAATATGATCGGTGATTTTTACGATACGTCACTTAACAGATTGCGTATCACTTGCGATTAGCCAAAGGAAATGAAAAGAAAGGACATATAAGTTAAGATGCGTGTGTGTTCTTCTAATTAGTGATATTCCTTCTTAAAAACCCAACGTTCTTTTTTAGATTAAGAAACTTGAACGTCATAACTTGAAAACCCTGTGGATCCCCCTTTGCACGCTGGCCTGTCGCCCAGCCTCTGCCCCAGCCGCCACGGCCAGCGTCTACACCATGTTCGCAGACCTGACTTCTTGCCGCCTACACTTCGTCCTGCACCCTTCAGGGCCCCAGGATTCCCTTCTGGTCCTTTCTGCATTCAGGGAGGCTAGCGGCTTTCTACCCCAACCTTTTCACCCGTCGGTTTTAAAGACATTTCAATTCAGCTGCTGTCTGGCTCCATTCCTGACGTCACGTATTGCTTTCAACCAGGCTCCGTTGGCTCCGTTCTGTGGGTGAGCAGCCCCGTGGGTGAGCGTGATTCTTGGGGAGCCCGTCCCGAGGGGCTGATTCCAGAACGTCTTTTGTCAGCAGTGCTGCTGGGAGAGTCTGAGGCCCACCTGCTTCCCCCCTGTAGCCGACACGGATGCCTACCTCCTGCCTGGACACTCAGACCAGGCGTCTCTGGTCCCTGAAATCGGTAAAGTCACCAGGACAAGACTCAGTGACCAACGGTTGTGACCAATGTTGCCTGGAACGAGAGAAAGCATCCTTTTAATCTGCAGACTTGGCTCTCTCCTTACTTCAGGAAAATCTTTTCAATTATGTGTATGTGTTTCTCGTGTATTCATTCCTGCGTCTGACACATCAATTGTCCGGCTCCTGTCTGTGTCTAATGACATTGAGCCTCATGCAACTGCCATTTTTGACCATTTTTAAACCCGCAGATGTGGCCCTTTCTCACGTCCAGCCGAACACGCGTTCACCGTGTTGCTCTCGTGTTCGTTCTCACTGCGGGACTAGCTCAGCTCGGCCTCAGCCTCTCGGCCGCACAGCCAGGCGTCCCCTGCGTTCGTCCGGTCCCCGTGTTTGGGACACGGCCGTCCCTTCTCTCGCGATCGCTTCTCGGCCTCGATCTGTTTCCCCGCCTCTGCAGTGTTTCATTTTATCTCATCTCATTTCATCCTTGAATCCTGTTCTGTGTGATTTCTTATTCCCGTTATTTTTGGCTAAGCTTCAAATAACTTATTAAAACCTTTTTTCCTATTTCTTGGAATGTGTTTTCGGGGTAGCGTTGACACCTGTATTTTGTGTGTGATTTCCCTCTCCCTGCTTTTTCTTCTTTTTCTTTATGGCTGGGGTGTGCCGAGTTGTCCACATGACTCCCTTCTCCCTCCCTCCTTCCCTCCCTCACTTCCTCCCTCTCTTCTTCCTTCCTTCCTGTGAGCAGCTCTCTCAGAATCATCTCTGTGCCTGAACATAACATGAAGTTCACCTGGGGGGTTGGGCTCTGTACCCTACTCGCTGGGCGGGGGGGGGGGGAGGGGAGGCTGCTGGAAGGTATACCTGGGGGCAAAGGTGGAGTGTGGAGCTGAAATCCGCTCTTGTCTTGGTGCCATTTTGTCAAGAGTTGGGGGTCAGGGCAGATGCCCGCAAGTTCCTAGCGCAGCCTGACCCCTGGGGGCTCCCTCCGTCAGAGCCTCCCCTCCTCCCCTGGGTTCCTGCAGGTGTTCTGACCGCCCCCTCCCCATACACCTGCGTGCTTCCGGAACACCCCATCTGGGGCTCCCACCAATCCACCCCCCCCACTCTTTCTCAGGCTGCTCTCTGTACCGTGGATGGAGGGTTGTGGCTTATGGGACAGCGTTTCATTTATTTTCCCTAAATTGTTCTTTGGTTGTTTCTTTTCAAATTTAGATTTGTTCATAAAACATTTCAGACTTTTGTCCGTGTACTTTCTTCTCCGAGACTTTGTTTCTAAGGGGATAGGAGCTGTTTGTCCGCCTCTATACTTTCTCTCCTGCCCCTTGCACTTTGCTTTTAAAAGATAACGGCCTGGGGGCGCCTGGGAGGCGCAGTCGGTTAAGCGTCCGACTTCAGTCAGGTCACGATCTCGCGGTCCGTGAGTTCGAGCCCCGCGTCGGGCTCTGGGCTGATGGCTCAGAGCCTGGAGCCTGTTTCCGATTCTGTGTCTCCCTCTCTCTCTGCCCCTCGCCCGTTCATGCTCTGTCTCTCTCTGTCCCAAAAATAAATAAATGTTGAAAAAAAAATTTAAAAAAAAAAATAAAATAAAAGATAACGGCCTGAAATGATAGCCTTATCTTTTTTCCGTGTTACTATTGTGTTTTTGAACAGGTTTTTGCTTATTGCTTATCGCTGAGGTTTTGCAGGCTGGTGGTTCTGTGGCCTGGGTTTCTTTAAGAGAGGCCCCTTAATGTTCTTAAATAATGTAAAATTAGAGGTAATTTCCGTAATGATCACCTCCTAGGCCTCCTCTGTGGGGCATCTGGCTCACTGGGTCGTTCCCTCCCTGAGCCCCTCCCCAGGTGACCTGGGCACTCCTCCCTCCCTGGTGTGACTTTGCCCCCTCCACCTCTATCCTGGTGGGGGGGGGGGGCCCCCCCCCCCGTGTGTGCCCCCCCGGGCCGGCTCCCCGGCCTGCCCCCCCCCCCCCCCCCCCGGGGTTGGCCCCCCCCCCCCCCCCCCAGCCTGGCCGTCCCTTCCGGCTGTGTCCGGTGTCTCTCTTCCCCTCCACCCACGTCCGCTCTGTGGGCAAATTCTGCTGGTTCCACTTTCAGAGTTCAGACCCGGACCTGACACTTCCCCACCTTCTCTGCACAATTCCCGCCACCGAGGTTTCTTTGCCTGAACCATCGCAGAGCTTCTGTCCTCAGTCTTTCCGCCTCGTGCCTTTCCTCCCCAGAGTTCACTCTCAGCCAAGGGGCCGGGATCCCTCCGCCTCCCCCTGTGCTTTGGGAGTGCCCTCTGCCTGCCCTCAGGGCCTCACCTCTGTGACCTTGACCTCGCTCGCCTCCCTGCTCATCCTCCCCAGCATACTGACCTGCTACTTCCTCTGCCTGGAAGAGGCGTCCCCGTGTCCCGTCACGTCCCCCGGGCACCCCCCCGGGGGCCCCCGGGGGCCCCGGGGGCCCCGGCCCCCCCCCGGGGGACCCCCCTGGACCCTCCCATCCCCCCACGTCCCCCCCACCCCCGTGTCCGCTTCTGCGTGAGTCACAATCCTTGTCTGTGTCTCTCGCTAGAGTGTAGACCCTGTGCTGGGAGGAGTTTGATCCGTGTTGTTCACGGGGACACGGCACGTAGTGAACAGCAGTGAGTTCCCGTGAACGCGGGTAGTGAGTTATGCTGGAGATACGCTGCACCCCAGCCCGCCCGGGGGAGGGGGACCATCGCCCAGGCCCGTTGCTCTGTGCCACGGCCACCCTCAACTCCAGCCAAGCGCTCAGCTACCTGACTGGGGACGCTGGCCGCGCCTCACTTTCCCGCCTTCCTCTGAGGTCGCCCAGCAGACCGTGCCGGGGAGCCCCCAGGGGCGCCCCACTGCCGCAGGCTAGGCCGCACGCCAAGATGTAACGTTGAAAGTGTCGACTACGCGGTGTTGCCTCTTGCGTTGGGACGCGTCGGGGGCCACGACTTCGTGCACAGCACGCACCTCGTCCTCCGCGACTTGTGTCTCACGGATTTTCCCAGCGTCCGGTCGGGCCGCCGTGCCGACGATTGTGGAAGTCCAGAGCAACACCCCCGGCCCTGAAACCTGTCGCCGTACTGAAATTCACAACCAACTTTCTAGAATTCTGCTTTTCTTCCTCGGTTTTATGCAAGTGCCAAATGGTGAGGATTTTATGTGCTCGACATGTCCCTTTGACAGCTTTTCCTCGAACTGCGGGGAAAGAGCCCCCTCATCGTCCCCGCCAGCTGGCTGCCTGCCTTACGGGTGGTGCCAAACGGTGACACAGTCTGTGAGGAAAGCCCAGCCTTAGAAGCACTTGGGTGCAAAGGCCCTGGGGCAGGGCCCCTGCAGGGAAGCAGGTGGGTGTCGGTGTGCCGGCTGGGGGATGCTGTCCTTTTCGGGGCGCCTAGCCGGGCGGGCGTGAAAGGCCTATGCGGGGAGGAAGCTTCAGGAAATATTTCCATTGTTCCAGCTGGACAGACAGAACCTCCGAGGAGGTTCTGGAACACTGCAAGGAGGCAGCTGTTCTTGCACAAAAACCTTGCCGGCGGGAGGGCCGGCAGAGCTGCTCAACAGTCTCAGCTGTCAGGCTTGCTGTGGGTTACCTGCGCCCCCAGGAATGGCCTCCTGACCCACCTGTTCCCCCAGGAGTGGTCTTCCCACCTACGCGTTCCTCCTTGAACGGCCTTCCCACTCACCTGTTCCCTGGGAATGGCCTCCCGACCCACTGCTTTCCCAGGAATGGCCTTCCCACATGCTGGGGAACTGGCCACCCAGCTCAGTTCCGATGGCCTCCCAGCCACGTTGTAGCATAACTCGTGGCTGGTTCAGAGGGTCTTTCCCTTTAATCCAAAGGACACACCCTTTTGGAAAACAAAGCGTGTTCTGTGTAAAAACGTAGTGATTACGAGTTCCGAGCCACCCTATTAGGCTATTTCAGGACTGTTCCGAGAGGAAGCCTTAGTTAGCACACACGTGCAAAGGAAGATGATGCTGCACAGACCCAGCTGGGTGGTTGAGCCTACTGCACACGTCCTTGCATTTCTTCCCCGGGCAGGGTGCCACACTCACGATCACCCTCGCGCGGCTAATGCGTTTCCCTGAGATACGCAGGAGCCCGAGGCCATGCTGGCCGCCTGGAGCGTGGGGACAGAATGGGACTGGGACTCCCTCCCAGAACCCCCCTGCCCCGACCGCAGCCTCCATGCCATGTTCCGCTCCGCTCCTGGGGTTTCTAGGTCCCCTCCCCACACCCTCCCGCCAGGGCCACCGCTCTCATACCTCGTCGTGCTGGAGGAAGTTCAGTCCTCTCGTGCATAAAACAAATGAGCCATTTGTATGTCTTTGAAAGAGGTTTCTTGTTAATAAACTCTCACATCAGAAAAAGGCCCGGTGTCCCAGTTTTTAATGAGCCAATATCGTCACCACATCTGTACCATTTGCTTGGCACCTGCTTTCTGTCCCTGGGCTTTTTATAGATGCCTGTGTTAGGTTCTCAGTGAGCTCCCAAGCTTTTAAAACCAGGGGCTGCGTGACATCGTGCACCGGTCACACCCCTTTGGCACTGAATGCACGGCGATGGCCTTGAATGTGAGTGAGAGAATGAGTTACGGGGCGCTCCTGGGCCTTAGGGCATTTGCACAACTTTCTCCAGGTTGGAGTTCAGAAAATCGGAGCTAGTGACGTGAATAGCCCCATTCTCTCGCTTACATTTCTGCCTCTGAGGTGGGGAGCGCTGGCTTTGGGGTCAGAACGAGCTGGCATAAGTCCCAGCCCCCATCCCGTAAGGCAGTATCGCTTAGGCCACATTTCTCGACTTCTCTGAGAACCGCTTTTCTCCCCAACCCCTTCTTCCTCTTGTCTTTTTCTTCCCAAGCCTTAATACCAAAGTCCAGACTGACTGGGGCGGTTTGGACATGAGGTCAAGGCCCCGCCCCGCACGTCCTGTCCCTGCGGGTTGGTAGAGAGAGGAGAGACTGTCCATAGCCACCGTGCAGGTGCAAAGTGCTCTCTTGCCTGGTCTGTCCCCGAGCTGGGCCGCACAAGGAATGCCCGGAGAAGGTGCAGACGTCCTTAAGCTGGAAGGCAAGAAACCTCAACGGGAAGCTCGGCGGGTGCTCTCCAAGGTGTTAGCGGGGA